TTGTAGCCATTATGTATCTTTTTGTCAGTTGTGGGACTTGAACTCAGGGCCTGGGTGCTGTCCCTGAGCTTTGTTGATCAAGGCTAGTACTCTACCACTTTAAGCCACAGCTCCTTTTCTATTTTTCTGGTGGTTAATTAGAGATAAGAGTCCCAATAGCCTTTCCTGCCTGGCCTGGCTCTGAATTGTGATCTTCAGATCTCAGCCTCCTGAGTAGCTAGGATTATAGGCTTGAGCCACTGGCACCTGGCAATCTACAAGTTTTTAAACCTCCTTCTTATATTTTATCTTTTTGATGTATTTGGGACTCATTTTTCATGTATCTTTCAGTTCTCTGGTTCTCTATTGCCTTTAACTGTTCAACTTAAAATTTGAACTATTGTTAGATCCATGAACATTTTATACATAACTAGTTATATAATAACTCAGAATTTTAATATATGTGGTCATTGAAGGGACTATCTAAACGTACTGTTTTTTGTTTGCTCTTATACAAGGTAGCTGGCTGCCCTTGAATACTGAACCATACTCTTCAATCTAGTAACAAAAAATACATCATAAACCATCCACTGCTTAATCTTAAGAAGTCTCTGAAAAGTCATAAACCAAAAGGAAACAGGAGATTAAAATCTTAACCTAAAGAGAAGGCTCCCGATATGTAAATCCCAGTAAAATATCATAAAACTCATGAGTAAACAAGACAGCATGTCTTTCTCAAAAGCTAACAAATACATAATAAAGGATTTAAGAGATACTAATTAAAGAGAAATTTTAATGAATTCCAAAATGACAAAAATGAAAATGAAAGATGAAATATACAAGAAGCTGAATGGATTAAAAGAGAATGCAACCATATGAGTAACAAGTGAAAAAGATGTCAAAGATCTGAATGAAATAAAATACATAATATGAAGAATTCAATAAAGATAACAGAAATCCTGAAGAAAAAATTGAAATCTTGGAAATAAAGAGCTCAATAGGCTTTATTAAAAACTCAATTGAAATCTGAGCTAAGAGAACAGAACAAGTATAGAGTATCAAAGATAGGAGACAAAATGGGACTATTATATCAATCAGTGAAAGGCACTGAAACAAAATCTGCAAGAACCCTGGGATATAGTCAAAAGACAAAAACTATGAATCATGAATATAGAAGAAGGAAGTATAGCGATAATCTGTAAAGATAATAGCAGAAAATTTCCCAAGAGAAAGGATATAGCAATGACAGTACTAACAAGAAAAGTTTGTAACTTTTGAGTGCCTACCTAAAGGAACGAAAGGAAGGAATGGTACCAAACTCATTCAGTAAAGTCGGTGTAACATGTATTCCCAAATCAGCCAAGAACACACCAAAAAGAGAATTGTAGACCAGTCTCTTTAGTGAAGAAAGATGCAGATATTCTCAAGAAAATGTTTGTAAAACAAATTCAAGAACATATTAAAAAGGTACACCAGCTCTATTCCTAACTACTCAGAAAGCTGAGATCTGGAGATGGCAGCTTGAAGGCAACCTAGGCAGTAAAGTCTGTGAGACTTATTTCCAATTAACAACCAAAAGTCCCACAGTGGAGCCGTGGCTCAAGTAGCAGAGTGCAAGCCTAGAGTGAAAAAGGACAGACAGCGCCCAAGCTCTGAATTCAAGTTGAAGACTGACACCAAAAAAAGTCATACACCTTGATCAAGTTGCTTTTATCACAGGGATCCAAGGATGTTCCAACATATGTCAATCAATAAACATGAGGCAGAGGAAAAGAATGAAGGACAACATTTACATGATCCTATCAACTGATGCAGAAAGCTTGGCAAAATTCAGCATCCTTTCTTGATAAGCACATTTAAAGAAACTAGATACAGAAGGAATGCACCTGATCATAATAAAAGCTATACATGACAGAAAAAGAGAAGTCATTTCTTCCAAAAGCAGGAATGAACTAAGTGTGTCTACTCTTATTCAATATAGTATTGGATTTCCTAGCCAGAACTATAAGGCAAGAAAAACAAATCAAAGGGACTCAAATAGTAGAGATGTCAAATCATACCCTTATCCTACCCCAATCTGCAGCAGCCTAGCAGGAAATAAAATTAACACTCAAAAATATCTTTCTTCTTTTTTTTTTGGTTGGTCATGGGGCTTGAACTCTGGGCCTGCGTGCTGACCCTCAGCTCTTTAGCTCAAGGCTAACACTCTACCACTTGAACCAAAAGGCCACTTCCAGTTTTCTGAGTAGTTTATTTGAGATAAAAGTCTCATGGCCTTTCCTGTCCAGGCTGGCTTTGAATCGCAATCCTCAGATCTCAGCCTCCTGAGTAGCTAGGGTACAGGCATGAGCCACCAGTCCCCAGCAAAAGTAACTTTTCTATATACCAACAGTGGTATATAGTCTGAGAAAGACATCTGGAAAACAACTGCATTCACAATATCTTCAAAACAATATGATAGCTAGGTATAAGCTTAACCAAGGAAGTGAAAGAATTCTACAATGACAACTGTAAAACCTTCAAGAAAGAAACTGAAGATACCAAAAGACAGAAAGACTCCCCTCACCCTTGCTCACAGATGGGCAGAATTAGTATCATATGAAAGTAGCCATACTACTAAAAAGTATACAGATTTAATGTAATTTCCACCAAAATTAGTGTTACATTCTTCACAGAAATAAAAAAAAATCTAAAAACTTAAGTCCCTGAATAGCAAAAGTAATTCTGAATCAAAAGAGCAATGCTGGTGGTATTATAATACCACTATTCAAATTATACTACAGAGCCAAGGTAACAAAAACAGTATGGTAATAGAAAAACAAACAAAACTGTTAAACAAAAAACAGGTAAGACCAATGGAAGAGAATAAAAGACCCAGGAATAAAACTACACAGCTATTACCATCTAATATTTTTGTGTATGTGGGTGTATGCCAGTATAGAGGCTTGAATAGAGTGCCACAAGCTTTGGCTTAGTTGTACACAACTAGCACTCTACTACTTGAACCTAATCTCCAGATGACTTTTTGCTTCTTAACTGGAAATCGATTGTCTCAGACTTTTCTGTTTGGGTGGCTTTGAATTGTGATCCTCCAGGTCTCTGCTTTCTGAGGAGTTAGGCATAAGCCATTGATATCCGGCTACAAATACCAAATTTTTGACAAAGAACACAAACACATACACGGAGGAAGGCTAGCCTATTCCAAAATGGTACTGGTTAAACTGGATATCTACATGCAAGTGACTAAAAGTAGACCTATATCTATCCCCTGTTCAAAAATGAACATCAAATGGTTTAAAGAACTCAAACTAGGGTTGGGAAGGTGGCTCAGTGGTAGAGCGCTTACCTTGCATGCATGAGGCCCTGGGTTTGATTCCTCAGCACCACATAAGCAAAAAGAAAAAAGCTGGAAGTGGCACTGTGGCTCAAGTGGTAGAGTGCTAGCCTTGAGCTGAAGAGCTGAGGGACAGTGCCCAGGCCCAGAGTTCAGGCCCCACAACCGGACCCACCCCCCCCTGCAAAAAAAAAGAACTCAAACTAAGACCTAAAAATTTAAATCTACAGGAAAATACATAATAAACTCTGGGAGTTATTTAGGCACAGCTAATTATTTCCCAGAAAATAAGAACTGACACATGGGACTACATCAAATTAAAAGTTTTCTGCATGGTAAGGAACAATAACCAGAAACAACAGACAACCCAAAGAATGAAAGAAAATCTTCCCCAGTCACTAAACAGGTAAAGGATTAAAATGCAAAATATACAAAGAGCTAAAAAAATTAAACAACAGAAGGATAAATAATCCAATTAATAAATGGGCAAACAAATTGATCAGACAGTTCTTAGAAGGGTAAACAGCTAACAGATGCATGAAGAAATGTTTTTTTATTCTCAGCCACAAAGAAAATGCAAACTAAGATTCCACCTCATTCCAGTCAGTCACAATGACAATCAACAAGAAAACAATAAAAAGCAAACATTAGCTGGTGTGTGTGTGTGTGTGTGTGTGTGTTCCATAAACCCCGTTGGGTGTGTGTGTGTGTGTGTGTGTTCCATAAAACCCGTTGAAGGGCAAATGCAATAAACCACTATGGAAATTAGTATGGAAGTTTTTATAAAAACCCTAAAATAGACCTACTTTATGATCTTGTCAGACCACTGTTGGGCATATTTCCAAAGGAGTATCTACATAGAAGAAAGATACCTGCATAAGCATGTTTATTTATTGTATTTCTGTTCACAAAAGCTAAGTTGTGGTTCAGCTGAGATGCCTAACAACTGATGAATGGATGAAGAAAATATGATACATATACTGTGGAGGATTACTCAGATATAAAGAACAGTGAGATTTAAGTCTTTTGCAGGAAAGTGGATGGAACTGGATATTGAACAAGCCAAACCAAATATTGTATGCATCCACTCATTTATGAAAGCTAAATCCTAAAGGGCATATGTTTATGGATATAAATATACTGATGTGTGTAACTGCATATATATACACATACATATGTGTATGTACACACAAATGTACATACTTACAATATTCACACACAGGACATGATCTGAACTATGAGACTGTTTAGAGGACTGAGGAGGAGGGGAGAAACAAAAGGGAATGACTAAGGATGAAAAATAGCAAAATATACTGTATATAAAGAGGCATAAGGAATCTCAATGAGAGCTACTGACAAGGTTGGGATGGGGAAAGAAAAGAAAAATTTCATTAAAGCCTCAATTTGTGTTACAGAGAGAACATGGAATATTTTAAATTTTTATCATATTCCATTTGCAATTTTTAAGTAAGACTAAAAAAATTGCACTGTTCTGTGTCTATTGATTGTGAGCCATCCATAAATATTTACTGAATGAAAGGACTATTGACTATACAGAAGTAAAATATGAATTTCCCCATTTTTTCTCAGTAGATAATATGTTTTGAATTGTTATGTGTTTACACTTCCCCAGCCCAAAAAGTACTAGCTAAAAGGTTGCTTTTTTATAAAAAGATCTTGAACACAATAAAGCTAATAAATACTTTAATTACTAGTAAATTTTTAGAAGGAAATAATAATTAAAACCAAAGTTATATATTTCAATCTATTTAAACTTTAATTTGTGCATTTGTGGTAATTTATGACTGCAAAACACTTTTTTCTTAGAATGACATAAAAAGGCACATTTCATTTGAATGCATAGTGTACCAATCTAAAATATCCTAATATCCTTACAAAGTGCTGAGCAGTCACATACATGTATAGTAATACCAAAATATATTTACATTCTTAAAATTTTCAGTATCACTAATATATATATATATTTAAAACTACAGAAAAAATTAGTGCTTTCTTTAGCTTAATTATGTGAATATATCCCACCCTCTAAATTTTTAGTGATTGACTTCAATTAAAAAATTTCTGTACATTGTGTAGTTATAAAACGCTGTCAGTTTTTAATGTTAAAAGTCCACTTTAGACATTGCTTTGTATGCATAATTCAGAACCAGCAAAGGTGAACAAACTGTACCTCAAAAGTATTTAGTGTTTCATTTTAATTTGTATCAACACTGTTAAACTAAAGCCATACAATTACACTAAATTCCTTATTATCTTTTCCAAGGAAATTAGCCGGCATTTTAAAGTAACTTTAAACAACGTATTATTATTTTTATAAATTTGTCTCCAAAAGGATCTTGGGTAATAATCAATTTAGAAGGCATTATCTCTGCACACATTTAATTGTTCTCAGAGCAGAGTAAAAACATGCCAATATAACCTAGAAAGGCTTAAATATATAAAAATATTTTAAGCTTACCTCTTCATAAATCAGTATTTGTTCAGGTTTTTCTCCGTATTTAAACAGTTTTAAAGAGATGAGCTCACTGTAATTTGTTAATTCAGTATAGTTAGTTACCAACTTGATATTCCTGAGGTATAATAACTGTAATATGCTAATAAGCACAGGATCAAAGATGCTATTACTGAACTGGGGAAAACAAATGAAATCCTAGACTAGAAGGGGAACCAAATAAATTGATCACTCCCCCAATTCTAGGCAAGAGAAAAAGTCATGATTTACAAAAGGACAGCCAATAAAGGTAATTAAAAAACCACAAATCTATCTACTGAAAAGTTGTAAAAAGTATGTGATCAAATTGTTTTTGAGACTTTTGAGGTACAGCTTTAGTGTTATAATATTTTTTATAAAATATAGACTGTTTTATCAAAAATACTTATACATTCTGTTACAATATATTGCTTTTGCCCTCAGTAACTGCCAATATAAAACCTGGATCCAGTGGCCCAAAAATGTACAAATGCACTTAATATAAATGCTGTAGTTTGAGGTGTCTGCTTGGCCACTGTACAAAAGTGATGAAGTAGTGAAATTAAATAAGCCTACAACACAGAATACATTACAACCTGTACAGATACATGTTCACAGCATGTATGTATACAAAGAAACCAAGATATAGTTCCCTTCTACAGCAGACACAGAATAAGATGACCTAGGGTGATATTGTAGAATGCATATCAAAAAAGGGATTTTCAGGGTCACTGATTTTGGAAAATGACTGGACATACTTGGTGTTTACACTTTGAGATGAGTATCACATACAATATATTGGTTCTCTTTCTTAATATTTTAAGTAAATGCTGATGTTCCAGTCTGTCAGCATCTTTAATAAAAAATTATTTGGCAAGTAGCTTTGTTTGAAAGCTCTGTTACATAGTTGGTAAAGATAAGGCAAATAAAATTTTTTCTCCTGATAAATGTAGAAAAGTTACAAAAGATAACAATTCATTGTGTTTTTCAAAAAGATCAAGCCATCAAAGGTGTATAAACTGTCACTATATTTTGTTATTATAGTAATTTCTTTAAAAAATTAAGAGCATTGCCTTAGACAATCATATTTTATGTGAATCATAATAGCATTCCAAACACTACTAATTCCATTCTGAAAAAAAAGAAAATTAATACTCCTTTCACTTAAGGCAGGCTTATGGTAATGATAGGGAGAGACTGTGAAAGAGCGTCTGTTCTTCTTTTTAAGAGTAATGATCCAAAAGTATTTATTTGTAATGGATTTTCAAGACCAATTTTCATTCAGCCTAAATGCCATGAAACTCTTTCCAGTGCTCAGATTCATGTTGAAAACACTATGAAGCCTGTTTTCAAGAAATTATTAAAATAGTACTTTTGCACAAATCTTCATGTGTTTTCTGAAAACAAAACAAACCCATAGAAGCTGTTGGTGGCACAGAGAGCAAAAGAAGGGATGCTATTTGTTAGAGGTCTTCTTCTGAGTTAAGTCAGTCTGCTTGTTTTCACAGTGTCCAGGAACTTAACACCAATCAGCAATGTAGTCGAAATCTCTGAACATTTCTTGTTCCTCTTCCGAAAGTATCCTTGGTTCTCGAGGTGGAGTAAGAATAGGTGCTTCTGAGGTAAATTCATCATCAAAATTACTAACATCTTCCCGGCCTCTGATGGTAGGTACAAATGGAGGCTTGACTTTTTTGTCTATTAGGGCATTCCAATCAACTAGCTGTATTACAAAACACAAAATGACCAGGCTTACTACTCGTAATTGTGCTAGAGATATCCACATATATATTTACATAAAAATCTTGAATTCTTACCCGAAAAAATGGGTGCTTTTTTACATCCTCTGCATCCTTCTCACCAGCTCCAAGGCGCCTTTCTGGATTTCTTCTTAACAGCTAATATAGCAAAACAAAAAACCAGTTAAAACCATTAAAATAAAATAAACTTCAGATTGTGTCCAATCTGAAATCATTAAGTTTATTTTTATTCTACTTTATTTTACTCTTTACTTCTCATTACAATATTTGAAAGGAGTAATAACAAGTTCTTTGCCCTTGAAGAGGTTTCTTTTATTCAATGATTTCCTTCTGTCACTCTCTCTCTCTCTCTTCCTTCTTCATTATCCTATGTGATATGGTGCATTTATTGGTTTACATATATTAAACTGTTAAATCATCTTTGTATTACTGGAATGAAACCAACTTAACTAAATCAAGGTGTGTGATCTTTTTAATGAGCTACTCAATTTGAGTTACAAATGGTTCCTGATTTATTTTTTCTTTTTTAAAAAATTTAGTGCTGTCAGCTGGGTGCTGGTCGCTCATGCCTCTAATCCTAGCTACTCAGGAGGCTGAGATCTGAGGATCATAGTTCAAAGCCAACCTGGGCAGGAAAGGCCAAGAGACTTTTTTTTTTTTTGGGGGGGGGGGGTCTGGTTGTGGGGCCTGAACTCTGGGCCTGGGCGCTGTCCCTCAGCTCTTCAGCTCAAGGATAGCGCTCTACCACTTGAGCCACAGCGCCACTTCCAGCTTTTTTCTTTTTGCTTATGTGGTGCTGAGGAATCGAACCCAGGGCCTCAGGCATGCAAGGCAAGCGCTCTACCACTGAGCCACCTTCCCAGCCCCAAGAGACTTTTTTTTGGTTGGTTGCAAGGCTTGAACTCTGGGCCTGAGCGCTGTCCCTCAGCTCTTCAGATCAAGGCTAGCACTCTACCACTTGAGCTATGGCGCTCTACCACTTGAGCTATGGCGCTCTACCACTTGAGCTACGGCGCCACTTCTGGTTTTCGGGGTGGTTTATTGGAGATAAGAGTTTATAGACTTTCCTGCCCGGGCTGGCTTTGAACCGCTATCCTCAGATCTCAGCCTCCTGAGTAGCTAGGATTACAGGGGTGAGCCCTGGCACCCAGCCCAAGAGACTCTTATCTAATAAACCACTCAGAAAACCAGAAGTGGTGCTGTGGCTCAAGTGGTTGAACACTAGCTCTGTGCTGAAGAGCTGAGGGACAGCGCCCAGGCCCAGAGTTCAAACCCCATAACCGAAAAAAAAAAATGGTGCTGTTATATTGAAAATGAACTATATAATTTGTGTGTGTGGGGAGGGGTGGGGGGGCGGTTATGGAGGGGGGAAACTAGGAGAGTGAGGGAAGGGGTGACATTGTCCAAAAAGAAATGTATTCTTTACCTTACTTACGTGACTATAACCCCTCCGTACATCACCTTTGTAATAATAATTTTAAAATGTTAAAAAACATTGGTGCTGGTAGTGGGTCTTGAACTCAGGGCTTATGTTCTCTTGATCAGCTTTTGCAGGTGGCTGTTTACCACTTGACCTGTGTCTATGTATGTCAAAGAGACTAGTCTATATTTGTCTTTTATGGATGTACATTTGTCCAGTTTTAGAACAAGTTAATACTGGTTCCATGTGACCACTAGGGTACAATTCTTTTTTTTAATTATATTTTTTTCTATTTATTAAAGAAATTAAAATATTAAAGGTTTATGTAACATACAAAAGCAAAGTTTTCTCACATTCTTCAGTAAGATTTGAGTATCTAAATTGATAGTTAAATTTTTTTTGTTATCTCCTTCTTTTTATTATCCCCCTACCATCACTTCCCTCCCCACCTCCCCAAGTCCTCCATCCCCCTACCCCCGAAATTCTAAAATTTGTTTTCAATATAGTGTCCTGTACATCTCATCATCACAATGGGTCAGCCTGCATCCTAATTTAAGCGTTCTGCAATATCCCTTCTCCTCCCCAAATTACAAATATATATATAGAAGGTGCAGAGCACCAGCATCAAATCCAGTGAAAACAGGGGTTATACCGTGGGGGGAGAACATAGAATAGAAACAAAAGAATCACATAGTGTATTGTAAGTACATTAAAAAAAAACACTAGCAAGAAAGAGAAGAAAAAAAAAAACCAAAACTCTTGTGTCTCTGTCTTGAGGTACATTTTGGTTAACATTATCTCATATAGTCGTATGTACATACCCTTTAATCTACTCTGCTTGTCCTAGACACATGAGACCTATGTTTCTTTGGGCCTGGTTTACTTCACCTAATATGATTTTTTCCAAGTCTTTCCATGTGCGTGTGTGTGTGCGTGTGTGTGTGTGTTTGGTTCCATATCTTAGCTATGGTAAATGATGCTGTGATAAACATGGTTGTGCTGGTACCTTTGGTATGACCTTGTTTGTGATCCTTTGGGTAAATACCCAAAAGTGGGATTGCTGCGTCATAAGGGAGCTAGCTTATGTGGAGTCTTTTGAGGGACCTCCACATTGCTTTCCAGAGTGGTTGAACAAGTTTACACTCCCACCAATGCAGTAGGTTTCCCTTTTGGCCACATCCCCTCCAGTATCTGTTGTTATTAGATTTCTTGATTGTAGCCATTCTAGCTTGGGTAAGGTGGAATCTCAGTGTTGTCTTGATTTTTTTTTTATGGCTAGAGAAGTTGAGCATTTCTTCATGTGTCTATTGGCCATTCTTATTTCCTCTTTAGAGAAGTCTCTCTTTAAGTCTTTACCCATTTGTTAATCAGGCAGTTGTTTCTTTGAGGATCTGTTGTTGGGGGATTTAGTTAGGGTACAATTCAGCTAAAAAAATTAGCTTAAATTTAGTTCTTACCCTTCTCATTATGGAAATGGCTTCTGTAGATAAGAATCTTGGATACCTTACTTCATCATTTACAATACTGTCGAAGACTTCCTCTTCATCATCACCAGGAAAAGGAGACTAAGAAGAAATATTTTGGGGTAAGTTAAAATAATTTTTGTTGTTGTTGATGCTGGTTGTGGACCTTGAATGCTGGGCCTGTGTGCTGTCCCCCTAAGCTTCTTTTGCTCAAGGTTAGCATTCTCCCACTTGAACCACACCACCACTTCCAGCTTTTTCTGTGATTAAATGGAGATGAAAGTCCCATGGACTTTCCTTCCTGGCCTGGCTATGAACTGTGATCTTCAGATCTCAGCCTCTGAATAGCTAGGATTACAAGCATGAGCCACTAGCAACCAGCAAAATTATTTTTATTCAAAGTATTTTTAATACAATAAAAATGTTACCTTTTCAAGGTACAATTAAGATTCAAGACATGAAAAAAAAAAACAAAACCAACCTAGTAGAGTAACAACCAAAAAGTATTATAAGAGGTCAAAACGGTTATGTATCTATTTCCCAAAGGCTATATATTCTTACTGAAATCTTTATATTTTATAGAATCATAGATTTTTACTGAATTCCATTCAGTAAATCACTTACTCATCTACCTGGCTATATTTTAAAACTGTCTATTGGACAGTGGGGAATATTTAGATACATGCTTTGTTTTCGAAGTCAGTAGCAAGCTAGATTATAGACAGTGATTGCACTAAGTGGCAGCTATTGCTATTGAAAGGAGTTCAGAAAGCACACATTACTATGTATATTTAATGTTCCAAATTCAATAGCCAGGGCGCTTAAAAATTATAACTAAGCTGGGTGCCAAGGCTCACATCTATAATCCTAGATACCCAGGAGACAGATCTGAGGATCAGGATTTGGAGCCAGCCTTGAGAAACAAGTCCAACAGATTCTTATCTCCAATTAACTAGTAAACAGCCAGGTGTGGCTCATGTGGTAGATAAGAGTATAGCCTTGACTGAAAAAGCTAGTCTCCTACAATTTTCCTATAGACTTGATCAGATACCTAAACATAAACAACTGTTTTCAAAGCATTTAAAATATATTACATAGATAACATAAAAATGTAACATAAACTAGTAAAGATGCCATAGGACAACCAACTATTAGCTTATTACAAACCTTTCAAAAGGTAAGTTCACTTATGCAGAAGACATATGGGGTGGCTTTACATATGACATGCTTTGTTCTTTCAATCATCTTTCTCTTCCCCTCTTCCCTCTTCCCAACTGCTTACCTCACCTACGAGCATTTCATATATAAGTACACCAAGGCCCCACCAATCTACAGCCCTTGTATATGATGTTTCTGTTAATACTTCTGGGGCAAGGAATTCAGGAGTGCCACAAAATGTGCTTGTTCTATCTCCATATCCCATTCCTGAAAAAGATAAAATCTCAATTATGTATTTGCAAAGAAAAACTAGCATGAAAATTAGATGCTATGCTTATGAAGCAGAATTAAAGTTGTTATGCATGGAGATCAAATGCAGACATACAAAAGACTTTTTAATACAAGTGTAAAGGAAACTGTGCAGCAATGCATAGGAATCTTATGTTAAAAAACTAGCAATGAAGAGCAGTGAGATTTTTTTTTTTTTTGGTTGGTCGTGGGGACTGAACTCTGGACCCAGGTACTGTCTCTCAGCTCTTCAGCTCAAGGCTAGTGCCCTACCACTTGAGCAACAGCACCACTTCCAGCTTTTTTTTTTGTTTCTGTGATGCTGAGGAATTGAACCCAGGGCCTCATGCATGTGAGGCAAGCACTCTACCACTGAGCCAACTTCCCTGCCCGAGCAATGAGAGTTTAAGAAACAAAAGCATTCATAACAATAAGTGTCCAATACCGAGAAATCCAATTAAAAAAAATTTTAGTGGGTGCAGTAATTAGGTCAGTGAATACATGGTGACACACATTAACGAGGTTCATTCATGGATTGTGCTACTTATTTTTGAACCTTTACTAAATATGGTACCAAGCACTGTTCTATGTGCTATTGGAACAAAACTGATTAAAGAGCTATTAATGTAGAGAAGGAAGAGAGAGAATGTTCATTACAATTAAATGTAAAGATAAGTAAATCTTACTTGTAGCATATTGAATATTATGTTGCATATTAATCTGCAATAGTACTCCTGAACAGGAAGGACTATATTCATTTTATAGATGAAGAAATGGATGCAAAGATTCAAAGCAAGTTTTTCAAAGACATACAAGTGAGTGGAATAGCCAATGTTGAAACTTAAAAAGATGGTTTTAGGTGTAAGCCCATCAACTTTAATTATGTTTTGTTATGTGAAATCTGATTCAAATTTCCTCAGCTTATTTACTTTTGAGTGTACAGAAAACATTCTTGTGATAGTTACATATCTATAGATTTTCCAATTTAAATGTTAATAGTTCTAAAAAGCTGGAGAAAAGTTATTAGGCTTATGTAATTTGCTCTTAAGAGCCCAAGGAGAGTAAACAATTTGGTGCTTAAAACTTTAACTTTTAAGTGACAAAAGTATTAGTCATAAAAGAGAATCTTATTCTTATGTTATGATTTCTGAAAGCCTAATTTGTATCCATAAAGTCTTGGTGTATAAATTAGGTTATAGGAAAATTAGTTATTTTATGAAGAATAAAAATAAAAATACGTTGTTTCCACACATAAATCTGAAAACTACCAAAGTACAAAGGAAATATACTTTATTAAAAGAAACCTTAAAAACCAATTACCTTCTTTGCAAAGACCAAAATCAGCAATTTTCACAAAGCCCTCTGTATCGAGCAACAAGTTATCCAATTTCAAATCTCTGTTCAAGATGGAAATATTAAAAAATGAAACAATTCAGATCACATAGTAAAAAAAAAAAAAAATCAACAGGAACCTAATTTTCTCTTTACTAAGAAAAAACCTTCCAAGTTATAATTTGATATTTAAATGCTGTATCACATTATGTTTTTATCTTTTTATCAAATTTATTGCCCTATAATAATATGGTTTCTGTTACTTCGTTATATAGAAAAGAATGTATTTTTCAAAGAAATGTCTTGTCTTTTTCAATATATATATTAAAGAAAGGTTTCAAGTACCTTTAACTCATATCTATTACTAATTTATTATTTGTGATCATCTGATATAGCCCAACACTGTAGTTTTTCAATATACAATCATAAGGAAGAATTAAGCCAACAGTATAAACAAGCTACCAGAAAAGATTCCCTCCTTGTACCTCCTGCTTCTGCCCAAGGTACAGGGAATGAATTCAGGACATTCTACCACTTGAGTCATGCATCCAGTCTTCTTTCTTTTTGTAAGGTGATTTTTGAGGTAGGGTCTTGATTTTTTTATGCCCCAAACAATTCTGGGCTTTTGAGTTTTGTGTCTTTTCCCCCACTGTCTAGTACATCTAGAGATTCAGATGGACTTCTACATAAACCTTTCTTTAGTGACAGTGCCGGGGCTTGAACTCAAGGCCTGGCATTGTCAGAGCTTTTGTGTTCAAGGTTAGCACTCTACCACTTCCATTTTTTTCCACTTTCAACTTTCTTAGGTACTTAATTGGAGATAAGTCTCATGAAGGGCTGGGAATGTGGCTTAGTGGTAGAGTGCTTGCCTAACATGCATGAAGCCCTGGGTTTGATTCCTCAGTACTACATAAACAAAAAAACCTAGAAGTGGTGCTGTGGCTCAAGTGGTAGAGTGCTAGCCTTGAGCAAAAAAAGAAGTTCAAGGACAATGCCCAGAACCTGAGTTCAAGCCCAGGACTGCTCCCCCACCTGCTCCCTCTCCCCCCCCTTCGTCCCCCCGCCCCATCTCATGGATTTTCCTGCCCAGGCTGGCTTCAAACTGTGATCCTTAGATCTCAGCCTCCTGAGCATCCAGGATTACAAGTGTGAGGCACTGGTGCCCATTCCTGCTTCATAAACTTCTGTTAATGGTCTGGCATCAAACCACAACCACCTGCCTCCCACCCCTGCATCTCTGCCTCCCAAGCTAGGATTATAGGCAGGCTTTCTACCACTTGAGCCATGCCTCCTGAACAGAGGGAACACTTAACTTTCTAAAAAGAATAATTGGGGAAAAAAGAGAAAGCTGAGTACAAATTAAGCCAGTTGAAATATTTCATCCTTTAAGCTAAACAGAATCATGAGGAAATCCTCATCTTGAGAACATTATTAATTGGTACTAGTTTCCCATAATTTGCTTTCTCTTGAGCAGTATTATTCAATCTAATATTTTGTCAGGTGTAGAGCAGGGCTATTCAAAGTGTGTTAGAAACTAGTTACTGGGCTATGCACTATTTGTTATGATATGCAATTTAATAAAGAGCTATGCCAGTATTAAAATAGATTGTGTCAGCAATAAATTTTAAATTCAAATGATAGCAAGAAGACTGTGTGTGTATGTGTGTGGGCGGGGATGGGGGGGGAGGTTAAGAGACTGGGCACTGCTGTCTTTTAGCTTTTTCACTCAAGTCTGGTACTCTACACTTGAGTCATTAACTCCACTTTTAGCTCTTTGATGATTAACTGTGGTAAGAGTTTCACAGACTTTGCTGATAGCCTTAGTGTGGTCTAGTTTTTGGTCATTTGGGTAAATGCCTCAGATCTCAACCTCCTATGTAACTAAGATTACAAAACATTTTGGATACAGTCTGTGAGTCTATCTGTATACTTGAGACCAAACCACAGCAAGTGTTCTGCCACTGAGTTCCACACTTGGCTCTAGAGACTTCTTACCAAAATAAGTATTATGGTAGTTTGCACTCTGGCATAAGCTACTTATCACATGAGGAGCATCTCAAGTAGTATAGAGATTTTCTACAGTGGATTGTTTACATGTAAAACATTCTCTAAAATGAATATTGTTAATGAAATCTGTCATCATAGGTAAACTCATCATTTCACTGTTTTTAACTGTACATACTTTTTGTCTTTTATTTTTTGGTACTGGGGACTGAACCCAGGATATTGCACTTGCTAGGCAAGTGCTTTGCAACCACTGCTGCATTGGTTCACCCTTTGTCCCACCATTTCTGTGATTACCCTTCCCTTCCCCAAATCAGATAAACTTATATATAAGACAAAGGGTACAGAAATAAAAAACACTGACAACAGGAAATAAACCAAAGGAGAAAAAAAAAAAGAAATAACAAAACAGCACACTAGAAAAACCTCATTTCCATGTCTTAGAGGTCATTTTGATAAACACCGTTTTATATGTTCATGTGCACATAGTTATTGAGCTCTGCTAAGAATATCCTAGACATGTTCTAGTTATTACAAATGAGGGAAGCCATGCATCTTACGTTTCTTCAGGTCTGGTTTACTTTGCTTACTATAATTTTTTTCCAAGTCTTTCCATTTCCTTACAAATGGGGCAATGTCATTCTTTCTGATGGAAGCATAGAATTCCATTGTGTGAATATACCACATTTTCTCAATCCATTCATTTACTGAGGGCATCTAGATTGATTCCAATCTTAGCTATGATAAATAATGCTATACTAAACATGGTTGTGCTGGTAGCCTTAGTGTGGTCTAGTTTGTGGTCATTTGGGTAAATGCCCAGGAGTGGGACTGCTGGGTCATAATCTCCCAAAACAAATCACCAAAGAACCAACAATTCCATTAATAAGTGGGCTAAAGACTTAAAGAGAGACTTCTCTGAACAAGAAATAAGAATGACCAATAGACACATAAGAGATGTTCAACATCTCTGGCCACAAAAGAAATGCAAATCAAAACAACACTGAGATTCCATCTCACCCCAGTTAGAATGGTTATTATCAAGAAAACTAATAACAAATGCTGGAGGGGATGTGGTCAAAAGGGAATGCTACTACACAGTTGGTGGCAATGTAAACTTGTACAATCAAGCACTCTGGAAAGCAGTATGGAGGTTCCTTAAAAGACTATGACCCACTCACTCCTGGGCATTTACCTAATTTTACTATTTTTAATTAGGCAACACGCAGAAGATAAAAAACAAAGAAATTCATTCTGAATTATTATATTGGTCATATATCTTGCAATGATGGGGGTTAACTTTTTAAATTTCAAATAGTTGCACAACAGAGTTTAAATTTCACATGTCCATTTATTTTTGTAATGCATCTTGATGAGTGTTATGCCTTCATCATTAGAGCTCACTTATTACATGAAGGAGAAAACTAAGAAAATTTCCTTTTCAACTATCTTTAATTCTATTTAACACCAAAGGAAACTAGTAAAAACAATAAAGACTTTACTTACCTATACACAATTTTGTGTTCATGTAAATATTGCAACCCAAGAACTACACATGCAGCATAAAATCTGTTTGAAGAATTAAATCAAAATAAGTTTAATAAAGTTCACTGCACTTGAATTCTAGTTTATATTTTTGTACTTCAAAGGCTAACTCTGTGGTTAATTAAATCTACAAATATTTACTTAGTCCTATATACAACACATTATCTAGGTATTAGGGGGTGAAACTTTCAAAAGGGAGGATGAAAAGTACAGTCTTGATAATGGAACCCATTAAATTTGCCTGGTAGATTCACTGAGGACCTTAGAGAAGACATGGTATAGTGCTGTGATGGGAACTATAATGTGTCATGAGAATGGAAAAACAGAGTCAAAATTAGAAGTTTCACTAGGGAAACATAAGGTGTTCCCTAAGAAAGAAAAATAACAGAGGAGAGAATGGCAAAACATGTTTGACAACTAATAGTGAATTTGGTGTGGTTAAAAGGATGGATATAGAGGGAAGAAGACAGACTGGATGCAGGATCTTCAATGTCTTATTATAGATACTGAAGCTTCTTTAAGTGATAGGGAATCAAACTACATTAATCAGGAGAGAACTATCACACTTATGTGAGCATACTCTAATAGTAGTGTAAATGTTGGGAGTAGAAATAGGTAGAAATTAAGGAGAAAAAGAACAAATTTTAGGTGTTCGTGACAGTGCGGATGAAAGATACATGACAAGAACATCCAATGTAGTAGGAACAAAGAACTTAAGAAAAGATTAGAAATAAAAAAAAAAAACTGGCATGATAGGATAGGGTGCTTCATTAGGTAGTCAGGAAGAGCAGGAAGAGGAAATGGTAAGAGCTAAAGATGACTGTTTGGCTCTTGAATACGGGTACTACTGAGTTTATGGTTTTTCAGTTTTAGCAATATTAGAATTCGAGCTCAGGGCCTTGTGCTGGCTAGCCAGGCATTCTACAAGTCCAGCCATGCCTCCAGTCCCTTCTCCTTTAGTAATTGTAACAGGATCTTCCCTTTTATGTCCAGGGCAGCTTAAATCATGGTGCTCCTTTTTATGCTTCCCATAGTAGCTAGGGCAATAGGCCCATGCTACTACTCAGCTTTTTATTGGTTGAGAGGGGGTCTTGCAAATATTTTTCCAAGACTAGCTTAAACTGCAGTTCTCCCTATCTCAACCCCCAAAGTAGCTAGGATTATAGGTGTGAGCTATTGAACCTGGCTTGAGTTTGTATTAGTATTATTATTTGGGTATATTTTGGAGACAGAATAAATTGTACTTGCAAATGGATGTTGCGGATGAGGAGAACAGAAGATCATGAATAACCCACTGTATTTTGGTTTGAACAATACATAGGTAGTATTGCTGTTGAAAATATGAAGACTAGGGGCTGGGAAGGTGGCTCAGTGGTAGAGCGCTTGCCTTGCATGCCTGGGGCCCTGGGTTTGATTCCTCAGCACCACATAAGCAAAAAGAAAAAAAAGCCGGAAGTGGCGCTGTGGCTCAAGTGGTAGCGCGCTAGCCTTGAGCTGAAGAGCTATGGGACGGTGCCCAGGCCCAGAGTTCAGGCCTCACCACCGGACCTCCTCCTCCCCCCCAAAAAAAGAAAAAGAAAATATGAAGACTACACGAATAGCAGGGCTTGGAAATTTTAGGTAAAGCAGGGAAGAAATGGCAAAAAAACAGGGTTCAGTTTGAGATTATGAGATTCTTTTTATCCTTACAAATGGAAAAAAAGAACTGAAATTATAAATTTGGTAAATAGCAAGTAGGATTGTAGCTCTTAAGACTAGTTCCCTAGATTCAAATCCTACCTCTAGCATACAAGAACTTTAAAATTGAGAATAAGAAAAATAATAGACTGTACATGTATCTGTATTGCCGATACATTAATTTTAATCTCGTTAATTTTAATCTCAATACTATTACGTTTTATATATTGATTAAACAAAAATTTAAAATACTATGAAATTTTACAGGTACTAAGGGAGTTTACAGTAAAAAGTCTGCTTTCTACCTTTTTTGGAAGCAATATTTATATATATAAGGATCCAAAATCTCCAATGTTTGAGCACCAACAGATACTCAAAAAGGTTTGGAATCAGGCATGGTGATATATGCCTTTAATTATAGTACTCACAAGTCTGACATAAGAGTTTTGTGAATTTCAGGCAAGTCCGGGTTACACATTAAGATTGAGCCAAACATGGCTACATAGAAAGACACTGTTTTCAAAATGTTTTGGATTTTTTTTATAAGTTCAATCAGTAAAGTCTTTTCAAATTTCAAAATCTGAAAAAACTTCAAAAACCTGTAATACTTTCAGTCCCAGCCATTTTGGACAAGATACCCATCTACACCAATTCCCCTTATGTTCTTTTGGAGATAGGGTAAGGACAAGACACCAAATATTGACATATGCTCTTTTAAAAGGTAAACATAAATATTCTATATAATTATCTAATACAAATTCCTTAGTACTTTTTTTAAACTATGAATTGAATATAATTTTTAAGGTAATAGTCCTGGGATGTCATTCCCTTAGAGGGGAAAAATCTAATAGTTAAAAAGAAAAAATATGTTAAAATGAATCTAAGTTGTACATTCAAATCATCATATATGACTTAGATTAAGTCATGAGATTTTCAATATGGACAACCGAGTTAATAAACAGAAAAAGTATATGGCAAATAATACATAGCGACTCATTTTCCTTTCAGAAAAACTTTTGTCATAGAGAGTTCTTTTTATCCCAGAAAGAAATCAGTCATGGAAAAATCTCAGATGAATTGTCTAAAGCATACTCACACAGCTCTTGGTTCAGAAAAGACATCAGTATGAATGTGCATCATTAGGTCCCCACCGGCAGCATATTCCATTACAAAGCAAACATGCTCTTTGGTTTGGAAACATGCAAAAAGGTTCACCAAAAAGGGATGCCTTACACTATTCACAGTTTCAAAAATTCTTTTTTCACACATCAGGCTGTAAAAGAAAATATTGTAAAATTAATATTTTAAAACAATTCTAGGTGGAAATAACATTCATTATAAATCACTGAACCTAAAAATGAACAGAACTTTTAATTAGTATAATTTCAAAATGATAAATTATAAAATTATCAAAGTGTGTGTTGAAATATATGCTCTGAAAACTGTCTTCTGGAATGTAGTACAATGTATTAATAGAAACTAAATTATGCATAGTATGACAAAGGTTGTAGGGTTCACCTTAGTAGTACCAAAGAAACACAACTAAATGTTGAGTTCATTTTAAAAATGAAAAAGATTTAATGTTGATACCCAGGTTCCATTGTGAATGAAATGAATTTGGAAAACATTTAAGAATTATATTTGTATAATACTTCATAGAAGGAGTATAGCATTTTCAATGCTTTATTAATATAGTGTTTTCCAGGTTATAAACTAAACATCTGTTTAATACTAAATACTGAAAAGAAACACAGCTATTACGATAGTGTCATTTTTTAAAAAAGAAATTCAGACAAGGATTATGATAAATTGATCACTCTTACTATGCAGGAAGTGCCACATTCTATATGATTTCCTACTTAATTTTATTTCCTTTCATTTTATTCTATTACTTTATGCAGTACTGGGGTTTGAACTCAAGAGTTTCTTACTTGCTAGGTAGACACTCTACCATTTGAGCCATATCTTTGACCTTCTGTTCATTTTGTTTTGTCTGTCTCCTGTTTTTGCTTCAGATTAGATTCTCCATCCTCCTACCTGTTGCTTTCTAAATACTGAGATAACAGTCAAGTGTGACCAGACCTGACTTACTGACTAAGATGGATCAAAGTTTTTTGCCTGAGCTACTCTTGGAACTTGATCCTTTCAATCTGTTCCTCCCAAGTAGCCTGGAACTAAAGATGTATGCTACTGTATCCTACATAATTAATTAATTACTTTTAAGACAGAGTCACAGTATGTACATGTAGCTCCAGGTAAGACTCGAAACTCACTAGGTAGCCCAGGATGGCCTTTAACTCATGATCCTCTGCTTCAGCCTCCTGAATCCTGGCATTGCAGGTATAAGCCACCACATTCAAACCTATATTAAAAGTATGACAAGGTTGGGTGCTGGAACCTCACACCTGTAACCTTAGGGACTCAGAAGTCTAAGATCTGAGGGTGTGGTTCAAAGTCAGCCCTGACAGGAAGTCTGTGAGACTCTTATCTCCAATTAACTACTAAAAAAACCTGGAAGTAGAGCTTCAGCTGATGTAGCAGACAGAATGCTGGCCTTCAAAAAAAAAAAAATCTCAGAGACAGCTTGTAGGCCCTGAGCTCAAGTCCTAGGAAAACTTACATTGCATTCTTCTCAAAAATTGTGTCAATAATCTAATCTTATTTAAAACTTTAGTATCATTTATCTGCTGGAAACAGCACAAATGTAATTTCTCTTAAAAAGAAATATCTAAGATCCAGCTGTACACATAACATCTGACGTGAGTGTCTAAATGGCTTATTTTACGTCAAAATATCTAGCCTCTTCTATTGACAAATTTAATGTGTTTATGTCTTGTTTCCCTAAGTGACTAGTTTCATCTTAACAATTCTGGCAAACTTCCTTCAGTGTTCACACCTTCGATAGAAATGATAGAAACTTTTTAGTCAGCAGAAAACATTTCCCCTAAGGCTAAAAACCTCAGAATTACACCAGACAGACTTGTCACCTATTAATTTGTTCTATAATACAAAAATGTATTTCCAGTTTTACTGGGTTTAATATGAACTTGTAAGAACAGAGAGCTGAGTGGGCAGGATTAACAATAACGTGGGTGGTGGGAGATATGATTTAGAGCAAGTGCTCATGCAACGGGTAAGTGACCTATGTATGATTTTTGTACATGGATTACTCTGGCTTTGACACATGATTTATGTTCACTTAAAAAAGAGATTGATTTGAAAGTATCTATGATCTATGTAAAGGACAACTTTCAAAGTAAAATAATCCAAACTACAGAAAGAAAATTTAGACTCTGTAAGATAACTGTCGTTAAGGATTAAGTATTCTAGAAATATCTACTAAACAAATAAGCAAACATATAGAAAAGGATCCTCTGTGTGTAAATGCTAGTCATACTTACTCAATAAGATGAATCATAAGGATGGCAAGTTTAAGGCCAGCCTGGACTTAAATAACAACACTCTATACCAAAACAAACAAAAATAATACTAACACACAATCACATCAAACTTAATGGGTCTACTAAAAAATGAGCTAGAATGTAAATATAAAGGCTTTTGTTCATTTACAATTACTTTAGTTTGGATTATTTTCTATTTATATTTGCAAGTAATATTTTACTTAAAAAAAAAAAAAAAGCTTTGATTCAAAGCCAGCCTGAGCAGAAAATTCCTTGACATTCTTAGCTACAATTAACCACCAAAAAGCTGGCTGTGGCTCAAGTGGCAGAGTGCTAGTTTTAAGGAAAAACTCAGGTACAGTGCCCAGGCCCTCAGTTCAAGACCCATGACACACACACACACACACACACACACACACACACACACACACACACACACACACACACACACACACACACACACACACACACACACACACACACACACACACACACACACACACACACACACACACTCCCCCGCTCCCCCCCCTCTAGTCTGCTGGTTATGGTAGCAAATTCTTGAAAATCACTGCACCCAGGAGGCTGAGGCAAGAGGATGGAGAATTCAACATCAGCCTGAGTTGCATAGCAAGATATAGTCTCAAATGAACAAACAAAAACTAATCTCTAAAAGATCAGGGTTTTTGATTTTACATTAAAAAATAATAAATCTTTACCACTCCTCTTCTTTTTTTTGTGCTGAAGCCTGAACTCAGGGCTTCTCACTATTGTTTAACGTCTTTTAACACTGGTGCTATACCACTTGATCCACACCTCCTCAAGTTTTTAAAAAAAACAAGAAAACTCTTTCTCATATTCTTCAGTTATAGAAACAATAAATGTGGTCTTCCTATCTAAAACTATCCAGAAAGGATTTTGCTGAATAGTTATAAAATATTCTGAGTGCCATAATGAATGCTGGTAATTATGTTTTTGTGTGTATAAGGAGAAGATTAAAGCTAATCTTTGATGTCACTTTCAGTTTATTTATATATGGAATAACAGAAGGGTCAAATAGTTTTTCCTTTTCTGGAAGAAAAGGTTTAATCCAGATTTGTAAAAAGCCGCTTAAATGGTTTGTGTTGTTCCTTAATAGGAAATCGGTTGGAGGTTGAGCACTGCTAACCCCCAAAAACTAATTCCAAAATGTTAAAAAATATATACAATAGACTTTGAGAATAGATGTGATGCCACAAATCTTAATAGTTCAAAGTACACATTGTACAAAATGTGCACTAACTCTTAAAAACAGTTATATTAAATTACCTTCTGGCTTTGTGTATGAGGTTTATATGGAACATGAATGTTATATGCATTTGCAACTGCATTGCATTCCTGTGATATCTCTGTGTATATGCAGATATTCCAAAATCAGAAATACTTTGGTTCCCAAACAAGATAAGGGTTATAGTTCACCTATATTACTGTCAATCCTGATGATTTATACAGCTTTTTACTACATTTTTACTATGTAGTACAAAGTCTTCCTAAAAGAACAGATGCATAATAATAACAATAGCATAACTATCAAGCTAGCTATGATTTACATCCCCATAATACCAACTCTTATGAGGAGGAGGCAGCAGAACAATTTTGAGTTTGGAGTCAGTCCGGATACAAAGTATGACCTTATTGTAAAAAACTGAAACCAACAAAAAGTCGAAACAATACTATCATGAAAAATGGAAAAGAAGTCTAGGTCAGAGGATGGGGCTTAAGCCAGAACATGGTTATTGTCTCTACTAAAAATGAATCCAGGCTTTAGAAATAAGTTGATAAATGACTGCAGTTTTCAATGGCCACAATTCCTAGTGACACAGAAATAAAACAATGTCAAGTTGACACCTCTCTCCCCCTGCAAAAAGACCCAGGAAAACAGAAAGATTCAAGATGGAGAAATAAAACTCCCTCTTGGAGCAATATGAGATAGGCAGGAAAATGAATCATTTAAAATTTCTAGCATTTCTCGAGAAAAGCAAGAAAAAGAATTTTTTAAATAGATTTCACAGGGTCTCACTATGTAGCTTAGGCTGGTTTGAACTCAAGACCTTTTATGCCAAGGATTACGAGTGTCACGGCACATAGTCACCTATCCCAACTCTGAAAACCACTGACAGCTTGGACAAAAAGCACTAAATGTAGCAATTTAAGTCAGTAAAACGTACACACACATGCAAAAAATCAGGACTAGAAAAATTAGTATTTTAGTAGATTAGGTCAGTACTTTAGGATTCATTTCCTTATATGGATCCCAGAAGTATAAGAAAAATACTACTGAATACTGTATCAATGAAAGCCTGTGTAACAAGGTACTTTATACAATAAAGTGCATATTAAAAATTTTTTTCTTATCTTTTTTATGGGCCCTGATAGGTGACCCTGCATCCTTCACAATGGCATCGAACATGAAATACTGATATGCAGGCAAGTGACTTGGTCAAGCCAGCTCACTTGGCCTGTGACTCAGGAACCAGAAAGATGTTCTCAAGCTGTATTCAAAGGTTTTAAGTGTCTCTGCTGAGATAGTACTTTCAACCCACTCTCAGTTACTCATTTTCAAGTGTGCTCTCATTTCCGTGTTTGAAAGATCCATTCTTTTTAACCCCTTAGTGTGACACTGAGTCAGCCTGACCCTGAATGTGCCAAACAATATATGGAGCCCGGAGGCAGGCCTGCTGGAATATTGGTGATGAACCTGGTCCCAGCCTACCAGAAAGGCTCTCTCTTCTCTGTTGGAAACTTCCTCCATAATTACAGAAGTGGGGGACAATGGAGCAAGTGCTGGATATTCTGTTTAAAAAGTGAGTGTTCCTCTTTAAACCCAGAGCTGCTCAGCCCCTCCTGGCTGAGTTGTAGAATACTTAACGCCTCTCTGAACCTGTTCATTTCATTGGAGTATTCTCACTGGCGCTTAGCATGAGACAAAGAAGTACACACCCTGACTAGTTCCTTAGTACTGGCCTGCCCAGGACATTTCCCTCAGAAGTTACTGGAGCCTCAGAAGTCTGCTTACTGAGAGGCTAGGATTATAGCTATGAGCCCATCCACTGCCTATCCACAGTGAGAATTTTGGAGAATTGTGTTTCATAAACTTCTAGAAGTGGGTTGTGAAGATCAACTTGCTCCCAGTGTTCTCCTCCTTCTTCCCAACATGCAAGTCTGCAGACAGTGGTCCTGCCAGAAACGGGCTATGCGAGGCTCAGGATGAGGAGGAGGGCAGGCTATCACTATTCTTATCACCAGTCTGCCCACAGCACCCTTTGTCCCATCTTCAGTAGGTGGATGGACTTCTACCCTAATGATTTCTGTGAATGCAAGAACTGAGACACCATAAAAGAACTCAGGCACTATGCCATACTCCACATACCCTCCTCAGACCTGCTACTCAGCCTACACATTCTTCTTGATGAGCTGGAGGAGCTGGTGAAGAATGAGACCAAGAAAAAGAGGAAGAAGTCTTTGTGTAGGCACCTCAGAGCTTGTAAGTAGGGATGGAGCCTGGGTCTCTAGGGATGATCCTGATTGGCCAGAAGCCCCTCTTATCACCCAGCTTGGCAAAATGTCCTTTTATGATATTCTCTGCCAGGCAATGTTGTCTTTTTGAAAGTACCTGCGCATAGTCACTCATCAGAAGAACCCTAACTTCTCATCAGTGTACTGTCCAAACTCAAATTCTACAGCTTCCTCCATTAGATTCTCATGGAAGTTTAATCCCACCTTAACTTCCAGAGTCCACTCTAAAAATCCTTTACCTATTTCTATTCTCAGGTTTCGGCCACCATATAGCAGCTTCTCCTGACATCCAGATAAAGAACACAACGGGAATGTCAGGGATAGTGATGGATGGAGATCTGGAGCCATCACTGGACTCCACAAAGCATGTGCATGTAGAGGAGTTGGTTCAATTTGTAGAAAGACCCAAAAAGGTTTTGAGTTGTGTGGACATCCCGCTGGTTTTGAACCCCACATGTGACACAGATGAACCTGCAGGTTCCCCAGACAAAAAAGATGATGATACATAATGTCTTCCCCTGACTTTTCAGCCGACGTAGGTCAGCTCTGAGTGAGTCAAATCAGCACTCCTCTTGGTGTGTTGGATAAAGTAGCACCCGTGGGGCTAATGGAAAACATCCCCAGTCTATGTTCAGGAGAACCAATAATTGAGGCCCAAAAGGTAGATTCAGTTGAGGAAAGTGAATCTGTCCTGCTACAGGAAAACCAGTCTCCAGTTAAGGTATCAGAATCTGCCCCTCTCTCAACTCAGGAAGAAAATCCAGTCTTTAATGAGGAGGTATATCCCTTTGAGGACTCTGAGGTACAATTTATTCCTTAAGACAACTTAGAGGCTGATCTAGGCTTAGAGATTCCCTCCCTACTCCCTGGGAAAATCTTTTTTTTTTTGCCCTGATTGTTGTGAGATGTTCATTCTATTTATTCTTCTAAGTTTATTAAAATGTCAATGTTTATATTATGTTGTACAATTCACAAATCCTAAATCTGGGTTTTTTTCCACCTACAATCTTATGCCCCAGACACATGGCTCCTGAGTGGGGTAAAACACAGAGTGACCTAGAGCTGTACAAGAGAACCTACTGGATATATAGGAACTGTTAAATGCATAGGGACTGACAAGGAATCCAGGCCATGGCTTCATGGAGTGAGACAAGGATGCTATAAAGGGTCTAGATCGTAGTAGACCAGATATCCTAGTAAGGTATTCTGTTAATTGGGGCAAATGCCAGAGTAAATTTAATATGTGTAATTCTTCCAATAGTGAGTTCAAGTCTGTATACACATCCATCATGCTTTGTGCAAATATTTATGAAAATTTCACTTCAAATAACATCAAAAATCTACTTTGGGGAGAAAATATGTATAGTGAAAAATAAAAGCCATCTTCAGTAGAAGAAAGGTTTACATAGATGGACAAAGACATGCCATGTGTAATGGCCCATCTCACTAATTCTAGCTTCAATAATGGCCCATTCTAAGGACAGAGGCTCAAAGCAGCCAATAATGTCCATATTTATGAGTCATTTAATATTACATTCTTACTCCAATGTCATCTTTATTCCCACAGCCTTTATGCTTTAATAACTTCATCAAAGATATAGCTGGGTGCTGGTGGCTCATGACTGTAATCATAGCTTCTCAGGAGGGCTGAGATCTGAGGATCATAATTCGATGCCAGCTCAGGAAAAAAAGTCCATGAGACCCTTACGTCCAATAAATTACACCAAGAAAATTGGAATTGGAGCTGTTGCTCAAGTGGTAAAGTGCTAGCCTTGAGCAATAATGCTCAGGAATGGCACCCAGGCCCTGAGTTCAAGCCCTGGACCAGCATTAAAAAAAAAAAGATGTATGAACAATGTACAGTTGTGAAATTCTTTATAAGGTAAAAGGAAAAAATGATTTAAAAAAAACAAAGAAATGTACTCATTACACTACTCATGTAACTGTAACCCCTCTGTATAACATCTTTACAATTAAAAAACAACAACAAAAACCAAAAAAAAAACTAGGGCTGGGAAGGTAGATCCGGGGTAGAGTGCTTGCCTTGCATGCATGAGGCCCTGGGTTCAATTCCTCAGCACCACATAAGCAGAAAAAGCTGGAAGTGGTGCTGTGGCTCAAATGGTAGAGCGTTAGCCTTGAGCTGAAGAGCTGAGGGATAGTGCCCAGGCCCAGAGTTCAGGCCCCATGACCAACAAAAAAAAAAGAAAAAAAGAAGTGCATTCCAAAAAGCATATACTGTAAGCCAGAAGCTGGTAGCTCAAGCCTATATTCATAGCTATTCATGAAACTGAGACCTAGAAGATCAGTTTGAAGCCAGCCTGGGTAGAAGTTCTATGAAACTCTACTTCTAATGAACCACCAAAATGCTAGAGTAAAATTATAGCTCAAGTGGTAGAGTGCCAGCAAGAAGCAAGAAAGCCAAGCAAAAGCTGCAGGACCTGGGTAAAAGTCTCAGTTCTGGTATACACACAAATACATACACACAAAAGCATAAGATATTAACTATTCACTTAACTAAATATTATGTATAAATGATATTTTATTACCTCATTTTATCAGCCATATGAAATGAAATGGAATCAACTTTACTGAACCACAAATGAGTAAGTTTCACATAAACAAAATCTGAATTAGTTTGCACTTATTTCTGTGTTTTTCCTTGGTATCCGTATCTTCTAACAAATTAATTGTAGAATGGGGAAAAAGTGACTAGAGAGTATTAAAACAGTATTCAATTAATGTGTATGTCAAGTATGATTATATTAATATTACTATGAAATTAGTGACTCTTACTGTTGTAATATTTGCATCAATTCCCTTATGTGACAACTTCAGAGCAACAATTTCATTTTAAAAAACAAACCTGTCTACTTCGTCTCGAGCCACAATGTCTCCTTTCTTTAAGGCTTTAATAGCAAACATCTCATTTGTGTGTTTATATTCAGCCAAAAGCACCTGAAATGAGATTAAAATAATAATTCCCATTGCAGCATTATTCACCATAGCTAAGATGTGGAACCAACCCAGATGCCCCTCAGTAGATGAATGAATCAAGAAAATGTGGTACACACACAGTGGAATTCTATGCCTCCATCAGCGCGCGCGCGCACGCGCGCACACACACACACACACACACACACACACACACACACACACACACAGAGTGGAATTCTATGCCTCCATCAGCCCCATTTGATAGGAAAATGGAAAGACTTGGAAAAAATTGCATGCATAGGCCCTGGGTTCAATTCCTCAGCACCACAGAAGCAGAAAAAGCCTTAAGTAGCACTGAAGCTCAAATGTTAGAGCACCAGCCTTGAGCTGAAGGACAGTGCCCAGGCCCAGAGTTCAATCCCCACGACTCAAGAAAAAAAAAAAAAAAAGAAACATAGGTCCCATATTTTCCCTTATTTGTAATAACTAATATATGTCTAGGATAGTCTTATCAAATGAGCAGGAGAGCTCAGAAGTTATGTACATATGACCATATAAAGATGATGCTAAGCGAAATGAACCCCAAGATAGGGACACAGACGTTTTATCTTTGTTGCTGTTGTTTTTAATGTACTTATAATGTACTATGTGATTTTGTTTTTGTTTCTTTTGTATGTTCTTTCCCCATGGTATACCCGTTTTCACTGTATTTGATTCTGGTGCCCTGCATCTTGTATATACAGTTTTCTTGTGGGGAGGGGACAGGAAATAACAAAATGCTGAAACAAGTATACAGACTGACCCAATGTAACAATGAGATGTACAAGACACTATGTTGAAAAGGAGGAGTTGGGGAGGTGGGGAGGAAAGGGATGGTAGGGGAAAAACAAAGGAGGGGGTAACAATGCTTGATAGGAAATGTACTCACTATCTTACTCATGTAACTGTAACCCTTCTGTACAGTATCTTTACAATAAAAAAAACCTTCAAAAACAATTATTTCCTAGTTATTAATTTCCTGGACATTCCAAAGGATTCTGAAAGATTACCTTTCCAAAATGTCCTCTTCCCAGGACAGCACAACATCTAAAGTCTTGCAGATTAAACTGAAACCTTTGCTGAGATCTAAAAATAGTAATTTCAATTAAAAATAGGCAATAAAATATGGTACCAAATATATGACTGCAAAATACTGTGTATGTATGTGTATACACACATGTATGTATATAGTATTCTTTACCTTCTCTCTTCAAGTTCTCGAATTCCACTGTATCCTACACCTGTCTCAGGAATATCAGGCTCATACTCAGATTGAGATTTTGGAAAAATACTATTTCTATCATTTTCAATATCAAAACCAGTTTCTGAATCCTGTAAAATATTAATTAAACCACAGAAACATTCAGAATACAACTTACTTTGTAATCCAAAATTGGCAAAAAAAAAAAAAAAAATCCAAGTTAATACAAATATCAGAGAGAAAAAATTTCAGATTAATTCTCATTATTATAGCCATTTACTTTGTATACTAACATTTTATCCAATATAACTATGCAATCGATAGAGACTTGAATTCAATCATACACTTTATTAACTATGAAGTTTTAACTGCTAATTCATTTGGTATAAGGAATTATACAAGGTTTAAAACCACTTGCCTGTCCAGGTGTATCCAAAACTCTTAATTCGGAAGACTCATCTGTTTCCCCAAGGGAAGAAGCACGTGGTGGGGCTGGAGGAGGCTCAGGCTCAAGATCAAAGTCCAATTTTGTTACTGTAGAATCACTTACAGAAGATAAAGTAATTTACCAAAACAGCAATCAAAAGCATTTAAAATAAAAGCAAATTAACTAAAGAAAAAAGAAAAAAGAAAGAACACAGCACTTATTTCAAAATACTACTTTGAAGAAAAAAATGCTGCTTTGAAAAACACCGGAGCTCTCAGTTTAATCACTAAACTCAATATGAAAGAGTATCACAGAAACTACTTTGTATGAGATATGCTAAAACATCTTAGGCACATACCTGGCTGGAAGTACTAGCTGAGGGATGCGTACATCTACCACTGGCACTGTAGCAGGCACAGGAGCTTGAGGGCTAAAGGTGCCAGAATGATTTACTGTAGGAATAGCTCGCCTTACTAGCCTTCCCCAAGTGGCAATATTAATATTCATTTGAGGAGCTCTGAGGAATGTTTTGCCTGTAGGTATTGTGAATAAAGAAAACAATTTCTTCATATATTACCAAAAGTAGTAATTTAAAAATTCATATTCATCAGTTTATTTATGAGGAATAAAACAAACTTGTCATAGAAACTAGTTCTTAACTATTTGCTTTTTTTTTTTAAGGATATGCATACAACATAGTTTTAAAATGAACTAAAAAAATTGTTAGGCTTTCTTTTCCCCTAAATCTAGTAGTGATATATGGTTAAGGTTTAATCTTTTTTGTGTGTGTACAGGTCCTAGGGTTTCAGGGCCTAGATGCTATTCCTCACTTAGCTCAATTAGAGCTTTTTAGTAGTTAACTGCAGATAAGAGTCTAATGGACTTTCCTGCTTCAAACCATGATCCTCAGTTTTCAGCCTCCTGAGTAGCTAGGATTAACAACTGTGAACCACTGACACTCAGGAAGAATCATTGTCTTTTAAAGATATAAACTATATAATATTTATGGATGAATCAATGATATCTGGGTTTGCTTTAAATGATCTGAGAAAGTATTGAATGGATGGGATACACATAAAACAAATTGCCATGAGTTGGTTAATGGTACAGATGTTCAATGATGCATTACAGCCACTTAAGGACGTTGGAAATGTTCCTCAGTAACAACTCATAAATAAATAAACAACTAAAAAGAAAGAAGCCACTAATCACTGTATTAAAATAAAAATGATATTTTTCTATATTTAGTAAAACAAAAAATTTATTTTATTCTTAGTAATAGCTACCTTGTTGTTTTGAAAAAATTTTCTTTTGTCTTTGGAGTTTGGGTCTTCTTTCAATCACTGGGTTAAAAAAGGTAACCTGTAGAGAAGAAAAATTTAATTTGACATGAAGATAGAATTATATTTATGAAATCCGCTACATTTGTAAGATTTGAAAGCTTCTTAAGAGATTTTTGGCTATACTTTAGTCAACTCCTCATTTTCTAGAAAATAGACCTAGAGAGGACAAATGATATTTTTCAAGGTCACACACCTATTCAATAGCAGAACAAAGTCACGAATACAAATGATCTTTCTTCCAACCTAATACTCTTTCCACTTTTACTTTTGTATTGCCTACATACATAATTTCAACTGTATTTATACACATTTAATAAAATACAATGATTACCTCTGCAAACAAAGTACCCTGTGGTTCCAAATAGAGACACATGCCATGCCGTTGGTTGTCTAAAAAATCTTCTAACCTCAGAAATTTTACAGCACACAGAGATCGCCAATCACGCCAATAAACTGAAATTTCCAGTTCACGTGACTAGGGTGATTAAAAAAATAAACAAAAGACATCATTGGACACACACTTGAATAAAATATCACAAAAATATGAAATACAAGCACAATAAACAAAGATAACACACACAAAGATGTTTGTGATGTCTATCAATTGTATATTATCTTTAATACACTTACAAAATTTAACTCAAAGAAACAAAACTTATATTCAGAAGGTCTTTGCATAATGTTATTTCTTAAGTATATTTCAAGAATCACACCTGGCACACAGTACATAGTAGCGACCACAGAAACTCCCCTTCTACTGAAGAGCTTTAAACTGTCAATTTCCTCTTTTCACATGCAGTCCCAGACCTAAGTGATTGTCTAGAGAACTCATTTCAAAGTTTATCTGCTTGTCCCATTGTTAAGGCAGAGAATGATCTGCAAATAGCATTTACTCTGCACTTAATAAATATTAAGCCTCTTAATCTTTAAAAGAATACCCCTAGAAGCCGGCACAGGTGGCTCACACTTAAATAATTATAGCTACTCAGGTGGCTGAGATGTGGAGGAGGATGGATAGAGGCTCTTCTGGGCAGAAAAGTCCACTAGATCCTACCTACCAAATAGCCAGCAAAGTCAGGCTTAGTACTCCCTCCCTCCATAAGAAACAAAAACCCAAGATGGAATGAGAAGAGGGAAAGGAAGGAATGAGGAAGAAGAGGGGGAGAAAGATGGAGAGAGATCAACACTACTGACAGTTACTCAGGATGCCAGCGCAGGCAGATAAATCCCTGAGTTTCTTATCTGCAATTAACCAGTAAGAAGCTGGATGTAGAGCTATGGTTCAATTGGTAGAACATCAACCTTGATGGAAAAAGTCCAGAAAGAGCATCTGTGGGTAGCAAGAGCAGTAAGCACAGCAGTCTGCATAGTAAGGAGGAAAGGGGGAAAGGAAGAAAGCTCATAGTGAGCTTTGTATAGAAAAAAAAATGTTCATTTATTATGACAAGGCAGGCAGGAAGGAAGGGGAAGGGAGGAAGGCAGGCAGGGAGGAAGGGAGGAGGGAGAGAAGAAGGGACAAAATATTAGTAAGACATTGACTGTCCAAATTCCAGGGGCAAGTTAAGAATATTATAACATATCCTATGAGATTCTACAGTGCAGTCATTAAAAATGTTTACCTGTGTAAACATTCTTAAGATTTCAACAATTTACTACATATACTTCTAGAACAGTTTGTAAGTTGGAGTCAACTTACTGAATTCTGTATGTATGTGATAATCTATATGCATTTTAATTATAAAGTACACAACTCTTGCACTGTATTGTTTTTCAGGATTATGCAGATCATCCACAAAAGGAGATAAATGTATTCCCCTTTAGGCTCTATAAAGTAATAAATTATTTCTTTTATACAACAACTTTCAATTTATAAGCTTATACATCTCATTATTTAAGTTCCTAGTATGCATAATTAAAAAGTGTGACTTTAAATCATAAAAATAGCTGATGCAAATGAAAATACAAATACTTCTACAGAATTTGCCAGAGGGGCTGTGTTAGTTTGGATGTGGTGAGATTCTCTTTTACTGTGGATGACAGTAGCTCCAGTTATGTCATTTGATAATTTATTCTGGCCACTCCAGTAAAACTATAACATTAACTCTCTTCTTTCAGTATCTTTATTCCATGCTTCATACTGGAATGTACTATGGGTCTGAGACTAGCGTGGAAAATCACCCATAGTACTTAAGCTAGCTTTCCTGGAGTTCTACAAGATTTAGGCACAAACTCTTTTTTTGTTGTTGTTGTTTTGTTTTGCTACTTTTTAGCATTGTTCCCTACAAACATTCTTTTTACAACAAAAGAGGGAAAGTAATATTTTATATCAGTACTCCATTATTTATGTCATGAATATTTAATCCTCCTTAGTCACTAAACCCTAACAATCTAATCTGGTTTGTGTAAGCTCACCAGGGATACAGTATCTGAAAAGTGAAGTTCCATACAGATAAACTAAGACTTATATGGAAAAAGATATAACTACTGTTTAGAATGAAAACTGCAAATGTGACTGCTGATTTGCTATCAATTTTCCAGATGAAGCATGTCAGGTTCTTTAATTCAAGAGTATTTTCAAGTTATAGGAACAACAAGTCTACCAAAAAAATTTTGGCAATAGGATTTGAGTTAGGCACTAATTAGCAATATTGTCTGACTATCCCAGATTGTATTTTATTTTATTATGAATTTGAATCTAGAATCGAAGAGGAATCTAAGCACTTATCACTTAAGATCTGGCTATAAACAGATTTTTAAAAAGTAAGACACAGCAACAAATTTAAACATCTGTTGCAAATAAAAAATAAAGTACTATATATCTTGCCAAAAGGAATTAGTACGAAGACAAATGAGTTTCAAACTGTTGAGGTGTCCCAGGATACCAGAATTTACTTTTCAAAGAAAGCACAGTGACATCTACAGGACACATAGGAACTAGCAGCTTGAGGTGCATCATAGTTTCACTATTAGAACATACAAACATTTCCTTAAGATGACATCATTATCTTTGCTAAGCCAGTTTTTCAACATTAACAAAAAGCAAATTCATATGAAAAAAGCTAATATAGAAGAGTAGAAGATTCATTTGATTCTAAGCTTTACAAATTATATTGTATATAGGTAGAAATGACTATATGAAAATGAAATTAAAATTTTAATATTTGTGTTTTTTCCTACAAAATTATTGAATTTTTCAGACATAAAATACTAATGAGCAATGACTTTGGTTTAAGGCAGTCTTTTTTCTTCTTTCCATACTAGTGGATTAAAAAATCCTGAAGGGTTCCAAAACTTGAGTTGCACTCCAGTAGTTGTAATTTTTGGTTTGGTTTATGCAAAGGCCTCACATTTTTTGCTCAAACCAAACTCAGTGATTTTCCTACTTGTTTATCCCTCCCCATCTATCTGGGACTAGACACGTATACCATTATACCCTGCTTGTTCAAAGCCCAGGACTAGCCATCCTTACTGCCACCCCAGAAAAAAAAAATGCAATGAGGGTAATTCTAGTACTGGTACAAGTGCAAGAATAAGAATCTCTTGAGCTTTTGATAGGGTGGACAAGCAGTAGTGATAGAGATAATAAAGAATATAACATCATTATCTACGACTGATGTCTGTCTTCCACAGACTGCTCTACAAGTAAATCATGCTCACTCTACAAGGAACAAGACAAGTAAACAAGAAATTAGGATAGAAACTATTGAGTGCTACAACAATTATGTATAAAATTGTGAAAATTCAAAATCTATGAAAATTCATATTCTCTAAGAAGTTTCAAAATCTTTTATTCCAAACTTATTAGTTTTTAGTTTCCATGACTTCACATTTATTGTTCCTATTTCTAAACTTGTATCTTATTCTCTGAACAAAACTAATAGTAGATTTTCCCAGTAATCTTTCTGTCAATTAGTCTAAATTCCCTTTTTAACATTATGATCAAATGCAACATCCATCTTTTCTACAATGGCATACTTGACCGAATACTACTCAAAATCTCCCTCTCCCAAATTAGCTGTAGCTATCTTGTTATTTATCCTTCTAGGTACTTGTGTTCTCAAATCTCAAAATTCCATTAATTCTGGAAAATTCTCACACATTGCTTTAGATACTGCCTCTGCCACCCAATATTCTTTCCTTCTGAATTCCACTTAGCCATTTTTATCTGTCATAGCTGTCATATGCAAGTTCATAATTTTTGAAGTCTTTCTGTTGTATTCTAGGCAACTTCTGTAACTCTTTCAGGTCAACTCTTCTGTTAAATTCTTCTTACTTTTCAATTCCAAAAGTTGTACTATTTGATCCTTCTTAATACAACAACTAATGAGCAATTATGTCTCATCTACACCTTCCACTCAATTATTTTGAAGCAAATCTACAATTTCATTTCACTTGGTTCTTTTCTTTTTTTGGGGGTCCGGTCATGGGGCCTGAACTCTGGGCCTGGGCACTGTCCCTCAGCTCTTCAGCTCAAGGCTAGTGCTCTACCACTTGAGCCACAGTTCCACTTCCGGCTTTTTTTCCCCCCTGCTTATGTGGTGCTGAGGAATCGAGCCCAGGGCCTCATGCATGCAAGGCAAGCACTCTACCACTGAGCCACCTTCCCAGCCCCATCTTTTCTTTTTTCTTAAAGTCTCTCCTATGAGATATGTTTTGTTTTGTTTTTGTTGGTTGTGGGGGCTGAACCCTGGCCCTGGGCACTGTCCCTCAGCTCTCCAGCTCAAGGCTAGCGCCCTACCACCTGAGCCACAGTGCCATTTCTGGCTTTTTTCTGCTTATGTGGTGCTGAGGAATTGAACCCAGTGCCTCATGCATGCAGGCAAGCACTCTACCACTGAGCCAACGTCCCAGCCCTCATTTGGTTCTTTTAAAATGCTGCCTGGAAGTAGAGCTGCGGCTAGAAGTGTTAAGAGTGCTAGCCTTGAGCTAGCTCAGGGACAGTGCCCATGACCCAACTTTAAAAATATATATATATAATAAACAAATAAAATACTTCGACTATATCTTTCTGCTTGTTCAAGGTGGTTATTTTTACTCATTTGTTTACTTAGACAGGGTATCACTATGTAGCAGCCCAGTCCAGACTAACCTTGAATACATTGTTCTCTTGCGTCAGCTTCCTGATGCTGGGATTTAGAGGAAGGAGTGTGAGTAAAGACATTTTCAAATTACACCCCCTACCCTACCCTTCAATTCTGGTATGTGATTACTTATGAATCACTTTATCAACAGTGTCATCATATCTCTCACGTATGCTGAGGCAGGAAAAAAAGACTGGTAACTGCCTTGTTTTAAAAATTATTTTTGCATAAATTATCTCCATTCACTCTATTAATATTTATTAATATTAAATATTTCCTGTGATGGGAATACAATTATGAGTAGCTTAGCCATCCAGTTTTCAAGTAGTTCTTAATTTTCTTAGGAAGATGGAAATGTAAATACATATAGGCAGTGGAATAGTATACAGTATAT